GTTCTTCCCATCAACCATAAGAGTTTCTTTTATAACTTTTGCAATCCTCTGGTAGGGTTTTGATGGTGGTGGGGGCTCATTTTTTTTAATTATATTCTAGATTGATATGTATCACCGGATTGAATAATCAAATGTGCATTTTGGATTCGAGAGACCATTCTGAATTGATGAATATTATATGTAAGAATAAGTTCTCTGTTAGCTAATCTGGAATGGTGTTCCGAAACACAAACTCCATATGCATGAAACTCATGCATGCTTGGAATAAAGCATCAGAGAAGTGGAGAAAATACACTCTCAACGACATTTTTTGAAAGTGACAAGATGGAGATATATCATATCAAGAAACACATTAATATCCGGATTGTATATGGAGTTTATGTTCCAAAACACAGTATTATTTACCAGATTTAGTAATCAAGAATATATTTTCAAATTTGGTACTCCATTCCATATTAGCTAATTTAAAACTTATTCTTACATACCGGATTCTTCAATCCGATATTGCTTTCAACTTCAAACTATTGGATTGCTTAATCTAGCGATACATACTAGATTACCTAATTCGGAATATAATTCAGAAAAACAAAAAATGAATCCCTACTACCACCAGAACTCTATCGAAGATTTATGAAAGTCATAAAACAAACTCTTACCTCTTCTTGGTTGCTAAGATAAACAAAGTCTTGGATCTTGGTTGATGGTTTTCTTAAAAGAAAAAACAGAGAAGAAGAATATGAAATGTAGGGTGATGAGGCGAGGGAGCAAGGCATTATTGGGCGCAAGGAGAAGAAGAGAATTTAATTCCTTTTTATTATAATAACTTTTTAGGTTTAATAATTCTATTTATCTAGTATAATAACTTTTCAATTTTTTTTTTGTTTTAATTGAATTTTTATTTTTGAAAAATTGAAGTAATAAAGTCTTTATCGTTAGTATTGTACTAATATACTAATATCATTAAAGATGGTGTCATGTGTGGTGTTTTTCTTTAAATATTTTTTAATTTTAATTTTATATTTTTTTATATACTTTTAGAAAATAAATTGTCACGTGTTAAATTGATTTTGTGTCACATGACAATGAAAATGTGATATGAAAGTGGAGTACTACGTGTCACTGTCATCTCACGTGTCATTTCATTAGTCTCAATTTGATTTTTCTATTTTTATTTTGTTTCAATTTAATCCTACTTATTTTTAAAATTAAATAATTTTGTCCCTTTTCAAATAATTAAGATAATTATAGAAAAATTTGTACAATTTTATTTCTAATTAAATCCAATTTTCACCGATAAAAAACAATACACCTAAAAAAAGCTAATTCACCCTCTGTTTAAAATTTACGATAAATTCAAATTATCTACAAGTCAACATAATAAATCATTATTTTATTGTTTCCATATAAACTATACTATGATAAGTAAGAATACAAATAAAAATACTTCGATCTTAAACTTATGGTATTATTATAATAAATTGAATATGTATTTAAAAAAAAAAATTGGGAGGTAGAAAGCCCCTAATATTTTGGACACAAATTTATGAATCATTGAATCCAAAACTCTTTTATGCCAATGCCTAAATACAAAATTGTTTTATTTGAAACTTTTCCCTCCACTTTTCCTGTTCTATAGTGAGACGTTTGATTTGATGAAAAAACAAATTACCCGATTCAGAACTACTTCTTTTAATTAGATTTAAACGCTGTTTTGGGTTATGTTGACAATCATAAATGCAACATTAAATGTTACTAAGAGATAATCAAATTATTATTCTGAAAAGAATCATTTCGCCAAAGGATGTACGGATAGAAAATACTAATAAAAGAAGAAAAATTTTAAAAATAAAAATGACAACTCATAATATATATATATATATATATATATATATATATATATATATATATATAATTATGTTAAATAGTATTCACACTTTTTATATGTAAACAAATAAGTGGCACATTTATGCTTAAAGTAAAGTAAAATTTATATCTTTTTTACTTTTAAAATAAATTTTCAAATATTTTATATTTATAATAAATAACATTTATCTTTCTTTGGTTTTTAATAAAATTATACTAACCTTTTTATTTTATTCTAAAAATATATCTCCTAATACTCAAATAATAAATTGTGAAAATTTAAAATATAAATTTAAAATTTTTGTATAAACAAGGAATTGAAATATTTAAATCATTTTTGTATTTTAACATATCTTCTTAAACTGTGTTCAGGCATGGATATCTACGCGGTTTGTGTTGGATTCCTATTGTATGTGAAAACTTATCAGCCTAATGAAAATCACAGTATTACATTATATAAGTGAGATTAATTTTTAAATAGTGAGGTGATTAAAATATATTATAGGATAACAAATTATCATAAAAATGTAATTTTAATTTTATATAAATAATGTTTTCTGAAGATATACCATTTGATATTTTTGTAAGTAACTTACGAGTGACAATATGATTTTATGATGGTTTGAGTATATACTAATTAAATTATATTTTGTTTTAAGTACATACTAATTCAACCATTATTTTAAGTATATACAAAATACTTTAAATACATTTACATTACCTATTAGGAAAATCGGAATTCATAAAAGTTACCTCTAATATATTAATAGGAAATTTTAATTGTAAAATGATATAAGTATGCTAAATTTTATTATAGAATTCGAATATTTGACACCGCAGACAAAATAATATTGGACATGGTTATACTTTTGGTCTGTATAGTTTATCAGATGAGTCCTTTTAGTTTAAGTAGTTTTAATTTCTTAAACTAAAATATTTCGTAAGTTAAATATTTAGTGAAATAAAGAATATTAAGATAATTGTAATGTTATTTCATTCGCTAATATATATTTCAAAAGGAGATAGTGAAAAATAAAATAACGAAATTTTAAAGTTATTTAACATTTTATGGTTAAGTTACAATCAAGATACACAATATTGCTATTAGTTTGGTTGGATGGTGTTAAATATCAAAACAAAAAAGTTAAAGTTATATAAAGTTCATATTTGATCGTTTAATTTTTAATATAATACTAATAATATAGATATTACAAAGTAAATATGTAAATAAAAAAAATCAGGTTTTGTTCTTTTAGGAACGAGATGATATCCTCTAACTTTTAACTGGTTTTCATTCTCTTTTTATCACTTTTGAATGCTTTTTCCTCTTTTGTATCCGAGTCATACTAAGCAAGTTTCAAAACAATAAAGAAATATGTCTTATTATTTAAAACTAGAATTGGAATATATTATATAAACTACAGGAAATAAGGTTTTAAAGAAAAAAGTTTAAGGTTGTGTTTAATTTTCAACTAGTCTGTTTTGAACATAATTTTCAACGTGTATATATTGAATTTCCGTTTTAAAAAATAAGATTTGAGTTGATTTTACAAACTCAGTTTCTAAAATTCACATAGATTAAAGATTATAAAATACTACTAGATCTTGATATTTAATAAATAAATTATTATTTTGATGAGATAAAAAAAATTCACTTATAAAAGATAGTTGGTTAAATGATGAGGTTATTCATATGACATTTTTCACATACAAAACATTTTGACAACTTATATGTTCTCATGCTCATTAGAACAAAATATATATGTTAAGACAAAATATTAAATAAGACAAAATATTAAATAAGACAAAATATTAAATTGACTGTAACAGACTAATGTAATAAAAAATATGGTGATAATATTGTAATATGAAAAAATATATTAAATTATTGTAACGTGAATTGATATAACATTGAAGCTTTTATTCCAGCTCCTCCACCCATTAGTCACAAGACCACTCCTCTCCATGACCACTTACCCCATTACTGTTCCATTGATAACGATTAGTTCCTATGCCATTCAAAACTTGATTTGAGTTATAATTTTTTGAAAGATATATGTTTTAATAATTATTATGTATGCTACTTCAAAATAGATTTGAGTTATAATTTTTTTAAGAGAACTATGATTTAATAATAAAATATGATTGATGTGATAAATTGTGTTAATATATCATTCTTATATAAACCTAAAATGCAAATCAAACCTCAAAAGTCATTCAATGGAACGATTTCCATTAACAAAAGCATAATATATAAAGGTTCTTAAAAATCATTAATCTCGATACATCTTATTTTTAGAATCACAAAATTTTTAATAGAAACTGAATATTTGTAAGCAACACGATCACATGACGTGGAATCTCATAATACAAAATGTACAGGATGTCCATTAAAACAAGTTCTTATGTTATGTAATAATTAATCAAAGTTATCAGATGAATGCGAATCGAATCACGTAAAATCAATCTAACATATCTTGAACGTATTTCATCGATGTATATATTATACTGTTTATAGTAAAATCCTGTATTTCTCTTTGAAGATAACTTTTTATTGGTTACAATTAATCTTTCAAAATGATTTAACGACTAATTTCTTGAAAAACAAAATTGTAAGATTATTGTAGAAGGAAAAAGAGGATTTGTAGGAAAGTTAAGAATGAAAAGAATCAGTGTTAATGAGTAGTGGGTAAAAGTATATTAGTTAAAATATATAAAAGATGAGGTAAAGTGTACGAGAAGACTTGCATTTTTGTTATTTGGTTTAAAAATAGTTAAAAAGCAAAAAGTGTGGTGGAGTGTGATCTGAAGTCTGAAAAGATCGCCCGCACGCGCGGCGGGAGTCTCTTGCAACTTTTTACACTTACTTGTCTTCTCTTCTCTTGTCTCTTTTTCACACCAATTCCAACCTTCTAATTCATTCCCTCTACTGATCAAAATCTAATAAGAAACGAATGAAAAACAGCATCTATTCATTTCTCATTCTTACCCAACAAAAGAAAACCATGGCAATAGGCAATAGGTAACCATCCATCTGAGATGTGTGACATGATAATTACTCATTGGGCGTTGTCAGAGCTGCTATTTCCCACAACTGTTGCTTTCTCTGATTAACACTTAATTTATTTGTTTGTGTTCACCGAAAGGTGTACGTACACTTGTAGTGCCAACGCCTACACATGCTCATGTACAAACACACACAAACACAATCCCAACCAACCCTGTCATTTCTCATTAAAATTCTCCCTTCTCTCCTTCCTCTCTTCTTCACACCCTTCAACTTGCATCATTTTCTATTCTCTTCCACCTTTTCACATTCTCTCTCACCACATTCCTTTCCTTAACTAACCTTCCTTCTCTTCCCTTTCTCCTTCCGCTTCTCACAATGCACACAAGAGAGAGGGAAAAGGACAACTCCATGAAGGAACCCACCTGCCCACAAAGGAGAAGAACTCCTTCCTTCTCCTCTTCTCTCCTCGACGCCATTTGCCATTCCATTGACCAGTCAAAATCCAATCTTCATCAGGATCAACCATCTTCTCTCTTCGATCACAATACGCACTCTTTCACCTCTGAAAAAGGTGGCAATAGAGAGAGAATGAATCTTCGCCGGGCGGTCATGCTGGAGGATTGGATGGAGAAGCACAGTTCTCATTCCCGTTCCCAAAGTTCTCAGTTTCTCAACTGCAGTTCAAGCTCCTCAGAATGCAGCTCTGGGGGGATATTTTCCTCTTCGGAAACCGACACGACAACCTTGAAGAAACAAAGACCGAGACCCACATCGGAGAAGAAGAAACAAGACCATAGGGTTTCCGAGAAGCAGAATAAAGAGGGTGGTTTCGCAAGGACCAAGTTGCGGGCTTTGAAAATTTACGGCGAATTGAATCAGAGAGTGAAGCAACCCATTTCACCGGGGAGTAGAATCGCTAGCTTCCTTAGCTCCATCTTCAACTCCCAGAACGTGAAGAAAGCCAAAATGTGTTACGTTGGGGCTGTTGAAGATGTAAGCTTTGAACACAAATCAAAGTCCCCGTGTTTCTCTTCCACTCCTTCTTCGTTCTCGAGAAGGTCTTGCATGAGCAAAACATCCTCTTCGGCTAAAAAATCCAACTCCAATGGGGTCAAAAGATCCGTGAGGTTTTACCCCGTTAGCGTAATCCTAGGCGAGGATTCTGAACCACAACCTAGTTATCACAAATGTAGCAACATTTATGAGAGCGAGCCTAATTTCACTGTGAGGAAGATCACCAGAAATTCTTCGATAAAGGAGCTGAAGAACACCGTTCGGGGAGAAGAAAATGGAGCTGAAGAAGCAGCAGCGCGTGGTTTTGTAAAAGGTTATCGAAATTCTGGTAAGGGTGAATTTGATTTTAGAGGCTTTTATAGAAATGAGGATGACGACGACGACGACGAAGAAGAAGACGATGCGAGTTGTTCGAGTTCAGATTTGTTTGAGCTGGATCATCTTATTGGAGCTGCAAGGTACCAAGAAGAACTTCCTGTCTATGAAACTACCAATTTGGAAACAAATAAAGCCATTGCCAGTGGTCTATGTTTGTAGTTTAGTTTAACAACACTTAATTGTAATTATTTTCCATAGTTTGTGGAGTTCATGCATTTTTTTTTTTAAATATTGTTCTCTTTTTGTTGTTGTTAGCTACCATTAACTGTGATATTTGCCGAGTAGAGATTCTGATATAGGCTTTATGCATGGTAGACACATTTTTGGATTGAATTGGAAAATGGATACAATTGTGAGAGTTAGAGAGAAAGATAGGTAGGTGGGTAGCTCATGTTCACTCGCACAACTTGTCAAAGCAAACTAAGACAAACTGAAAAGAGAAAAGTAAAAGTAGATTCATTTTTTTTCCTACCCGATGAGAAAAGAAAAGTTAAAAAAGCTTAACGCTTTTCCACTGGGTTTGCACATGGCCTCACTGAGACATGGTAAAAATCTCCACCACTTTAACGTCATAGAAGATTTAAATAAATGATTACAACTCACAACTTTTTGCGCGTTTGAAATCCGCGATTACAGAGTGATTTTGAACTGATATTCTTGGTTGTAAAGCCAAAATTGAAGCTAATCTAGACAGAACATATCAGCATATTCATACATAGCAGAGAAAGGAGACGTTTATATATAAATATATATATAGCAGACAGGGTAGGGCCTCTGATTTGAAACCGGGGAAGTCAAAATATGGTAGGAGGATATGATCAGGCATAATAGGATGAATCTAAACATACTTTTGACACCGCAGGAGAAAAATTGATAATCGTAATCTCCAGAGATGAAAAAATGAGACACCATGGCCACCTTGGTTGACCAAAACACCATCCCCCAAAGGCCCTTTTGAGTAAAAGATTAAAATGAAAAAGCAGGTTATGAAATCTTATGATTTGTTGCATTATGGAAGGTTGATTAAAGATAAGAGGGATTGAGACGAGTAATGAAGTTGGATGCAATGAGAGGTTGAATTGGGATGTTATGTTACTCACCAACCAAGCAGAAGCTATGGCACATACTGTAGGAAGATTATAAATAAGTTGCAAGTGCATGTGAAAGCAGCTTCACATTATCATCCATGGCCTTAACCAAGGACCACCCATATGCCTATGATTCCTTTGGCATTTTCATCCCAAAAACACCTGCCCTCATTCAATTCCATATCTTATTTTAGGTTTTTCATATGAAGTACTAATAATAATATTCATTTAATTTTTCCTTTTAGAATTCAATAGAAATGAAAATGTTGAATAATAATATCTATAAATCATTGTTTTAAGGTTTTTTTATTATTGAAAGTAATGTCTTTAATGTTTATACTTTCCGTGAGTTGATTAACATTTTGGTCTCTACTTTTAAATTTTCAACAATATTTATTATTTTTGTGTATGTACTTTTTGTTATTTCTTAAAATAATATATATTTTTTCAAATATGAAATAAACCAAAAATAGGAAGACACAAGAAGGAGAATAGTTTTGTCAAAAAAAAAAATATTCTTTTCAACGTCAATGTTTTTATATAACTTGCTAATGAGTAACAATTTTTCTCAAAATATTATACACGCGCAAAAATTTTTAACTTCTCAATCTTACCGACGAACCATAAATATATAATATAAGAAATGTATCACCACTAATTTAAATTAAATTATTTTAAAATATATAGAATAGTAGGAATTTGAATGGAAGCATATTACCACAACTTCGCTGGCCCCGTTGTAGCTAGCTAAATGAAATAAAAAATATTTAGTGATATAATATTCGTTAAAGAATAAAATAAGTATAATGTACACTATAATATATATTGCTTTATATATTATAATAATCGCCATATGTTTGGGAGGCCATGCCACGAAAAAGTAATTGCTTTCATACTTTAAAGGTTTGAAAATAGTTTGTATTATGAAATGGAAAATGACACTTAGAACAACCATTTTTGACAACATTTAGACACGCGCACACGTGTCAAAATTTGAGCGGTCTATTTTCATTTAATTTTTCCAACTGGACCACTCAGATTTTGACACGTGTGCGCGTGTCTAAATGTTGTCAAAAATGGTTGTTCAAAGTATCATTTTCCTTATGAAATAGTTAATTTGGTTAACTTTTAGTCGTTCCACGGGTCTAAAAGGGAAGGTTTTCAATTAAAAAAATACTAAAACTTTTTATTATGTTTGAATACGTGTCTAAATGTTTTTAAAAATAACAATAATAATGTAACGAGTCGTATAGATAATTGGTGGAATAAAGTTGATCAGTATTTGCTGTTTTTTTTAAAAAAAATTGATGTTTCAGTTTATAAAATTAGTTTTCATTAACCTGGTTATTTAAATTATTTAAAATATCAGAAACCATAATAATAAATTTCAAGATTTAATTATATTTACTAATTTTTAAATTAAAAAGTTAATGTGTATAATAAGGTAAAAATTTAAGAAGTAACATGAGTAATGTTTTTTATCTTTTGGAGTTGAAATTTTCAATATTTAAACTAGAGAATGTAGCGTGGTTTCATTTGAGAACAAACATTTGTCTCGATGATAGGTTCTAACTTGGCTCTGATACCATAATAGATAGTGGATTTAAGCTTAATTCAACCCCACAAAATCGGCTTGTAAAGTGAGGTTTGCACCCCACTTATATATTATAATTTAGCCTTATCTTTAGTCGATGTGAGACTTCCAGCAGATAATGTTAATGTTTGCATTCTTGTAAATATATGCACTTCATAGTTTTTAAGGATTTTATTTGAAAAATCATTCCACTAATAAGTTAACTAATTTAACTTGTATTCATAGGAAACAATATAAGAGGCTTAATGTTTTAACTTCATATATTTATTTATATTTTTTCCTATAGTAACTATATTTTTTTATGTTTTGTAAAGTGTAATTTTTTATCACAAGTTTGGTACAAACACAATCATTTCTTTCTAGAGAAAACTAACCATTTATAAGCTCACATAAGAGATATGTACTTATTATCTAACTTTAGAGATGTTAAACAAGTATTAGATAGTCTTAAGTTTGACGTATGAATATCCTAATCCAAAATGATATTATGAATTATTCCGATATTCTTTAGATTTTTTTTCATCCCATTATATATTAAACTGTGACTTCCCAACTACAATCACACTAACGTCGATTTGATCTCAAGTAATTGTCATTGAAACCAAACTTAATGTGTGTGTATTTTGATATTTAGTGTAGTATTATGTGTGGTGGGTATACCTATAATGATACTGTAAAGCACTAGTCATGCAACTCATAAAATTTTATAGTGTATACTTAAGATGATATTCAGTGATATTTTATATTACATAAATTAAGACATAGATAGTTAAAAATTGAAGGAAGTTTTTGCATCAAATTTTTACTAAATAGATAAAACATCACTCTAATAATATGCTTATAATGAGTTATGTGCTATGGTGTACGAATACGATAAATATATCATGTACAACACATATTTAATTATTTGATATGTTTATTTTGAAAATAGTAAAATATAATATGTGCTATATACATATTGAAAAATATACACAAATTCTTAAAAACATGATAAAATATAATTATTATTGTGTGAATTAAAATTAAAATCATATATTTAAAACGTTATTAAAATAAAAGATTATAAATTATTTACATCATAAAAGTATTATTGCTTTATAAATTAAATATTTTAAAGATAAATATAGGTGAAGTATCTTAAAGAAGTGTCAACGATCTGTTAGACACAAATACGTTATTCAAATTGAAGTAAGGATATATTATTGTATTGTTAATTTGGGTTGGATATGTTTAATAATTTTAAAAAAATAACGTTAAAGCGGATAAGTTCTGTTCAATCATTAAGACATAGTTGAGGATTTATATGGATGAAAGAGATTTAAGTGTTTTTTTTTTTTTATATTCTTTAATGCAATGGATAATTGCTATATGTTACACGATATATCATGCTGTGTTGATTATATTAGCAACCTTTGTGTGCGTTGAAATTTCTATTACCAAACTCAGATACGACATTGGATAATAGTATTCGTGACAATGTAAAGTTTATGCTATATTAGAAAACTTCTTTACATACAACAAGTATAAATATAAATAATATTGTTTACTAATCAAATGATAAATCATAATCTTAAAGTAATTTTAAAAGATATTATTATATGATAGAAGTTGGTTCTATATTAATATTATTTGATGTAAAAGGACAAGGTGTAGGCTGAGTCTATCGAAGAGGAAGTTGATTCGGAAGACATAACATCAATAAGATTGGAGTCTAATATAAGAGATTGACACTACTTTCGACCAACAACCTTAAAGTTAAAGCAAAGAGTTAATGAGTCTTTCACCTTTATATACTGCTCTATTTTCTCATTTTTATCCAACGTGGGACTTGGACTCATACTTTGGATTCCCAATAAATCTTTTCCTTAAGGGTGAGTCACTGTCCCTTCCACATTGGTATACTCTCCCTCCAGCAGAAACATTCCCAACCAACCACAATTACGAATAATCATTTGTATCGTCGATCATCTTAACGGGACACACTTACTTGGAAGTCTTCATGTTGGGTCTATCGAAGAAGAAATTCACTATGAAGACATAATATCAATGAGATCTGAGTCTAACCATATAAAAGATTGACATCACCCTCTACCTAAAACCTTAAGATAATAAGTTAATGAGTCTTTTATCTTTATATAATATTTTACTTTTTATTTTTATTGATAAACCTTGGACTCCCTTGAATTCACTCCCTTAAATTCTCAACTGTATAATATATATTTGTATGATTATATACAAATTTATTGTACATTCTACACACCACATAGATGAATTGCACAGTCAGCTTTCTCTATGGCAGCAGGAGTGCCCACAGGCAGGGTGCCCCGCTGTACCAACTAATTATTATTTTGTTTTTAGGTCTAAATTCCTTTCACTTAATATTGGATGTTCTTGCATACAACATCTGATGCTATTCCAATTATTTTCACATGTCAAATCATATAAATGTCACCAACAGAATCATTTGCTAATACTATATCCTCAACATTTATTAAAAGTAGAAATATATATATAATATCCTAAATTATACAGTAAAAACT